ATTGCTTCCTTCCGAATATGATTCTTTTTTTTATGTTTAAGATTCTTCTATCAAATATTTTAAGACACCTGATTTGTTTATGATTCTACAACCAATGTATACTTGATTTTTTTATTTGATATTATATGACATATGATTTCTTAATCAAATATCCTTGAGTTGGATTCTTATAAGAATACATATCTAAATTAAATATTACTTTCTAATTTAGATTTTTATAAGAATCCAATATTCTTAATCAAATATCATTGTTCTTTCAATTTATTTTTCTTGATTTAGGTACTCGAGTTACACCCCTAACCCAATAAAATAATAATTAGAGTCTATGGATGTGATTCTTGAATTTTATGTATTTTTGGAATGCCTTTAGAAAGCAATGCACAAACTCTTGATTGACAAAATTGATCCTTTAATCTTTTATTGATGAATTCTTTTTGATAATCAACAAAATAAATCTGTATTTATTAGCTAATAAAAGTTTTACCATCCTTACAAAACAAAATCAAGGGAAATAAATATGGCACATATTTGGCATTACAAAAAATTATCTGTTTAGAATTTTACAAGTCACTCCTAGGCCTAGGAATACCCCATAACATATCCTACTTAGAAACCGTAGTTTTTTCTAGAGTTCAACCAATCAATTGTTGTCCTTCGGACCAACCTAAAATGAGTAGTTCAGAGAAATACTTAAATTTTTCTTCTAATGTATGCTTCAAGCCATGCTCATATAGAGAGGAAATATTTTTAAAATTTATAGTTCTTATGAAGTTATAATATATTGTTTGATCTTGTCACCTTTTAAAAAGAAATGCTTCTTTTTATGAAATTAACTCAGTTTTCATGCTTCTACAAAATGTGCACATGTATGCAGACAATAAAGTTTGTATTGGGGCTTTAAAGTTCAATTCGATATTCTTTTCCTCTTTTCCTCAGTCTAGTGTTATCTCTATATATTATATATGATGAAAGTGTGCTGAAATGGTGGAAATAAGGTACCAAAAGGGACCACAAGGTATATGATGAAGTGTGCTGAAATGATGAAAGTGCCTTCTCTTTCTCTCTCTCTCTTGATTAGTGTTTGGCTGAATGTTGTCTTTCTAAGTGTTTAGAGCTTAACTCTTTTTTACATATATTTGCATTGATAGATGCACAAAGAATTGTTGTTTGTAGTGGTTGGCCTACAACTACTATAGTTGCATTGACACAGACCATTATATAAGAATGGATGGACTATGTGACTATATAGGGGAAGGCAAGTTGATTGGTAGAATATGTATTTTACGTGTGTTACATGTATTGAAATGGCTAAATATTATGTTGTGTTCAAAGGACATTGACCTAGAATTTACTTCACATGGGTAGAATGTAATGCCCAAGTGTATAAATTTAGTGGAACATTTTTTTGCTCTCTAGAACTTATGAAGAAGCAATGTTTCAATTTTCCAATGATACCAACATAATATTGATCCAATACCACAACACTCAATAATTGGTAATACCTTTAACACCAATAGAAAGGGTATTGACACAAGAGGTGAAAGAACCTATTGTGTAATTTATGCACAATTAATTCAGACAAGTGTACCTTAATCAAATGTGCGTATAATGATGAGAAAAGTGTCGATCCCACAGAGACTAGATCATAGTACCAAATCAATTTTAAACGAACCTAAGTTGAACTTGTGAATCAATTGAAGGAAAAAACTAAAAGAATTAATGCAAATCCAATAACTTAATAAAAACTGAATTGATGGATGAGTGCAACTAGGGTTTAGATTTCATTGAATCAATGTTATATAATTACCTATTTAATCAAATTCAAGACCGAAATTACCCTAAGGTATTTGCATGTGATGGTGGATTTTCCTAAATTAATTAATAAGCTTTCTCAAGCCATATTAATCCGATTCTACCATCAAATTTCTAAGTGATTGTCAAAAGGAAAAATAAGCATTGATTTATTTGGAAACATCTAATCCTAGAAGGGGGTTTGACTCACTAAGCTTCCTTGATTCCCACACATGAACTAATCATCTTTCGATATCATAGTCTATCATGCGATTTCTATTGCCTAGGGATCTAATTCATAACAATCCTTTGGTCAGTCATGCATGAATCATCAAATCATTAAAAGATTGGCCAATTCTTGTAAAGCATTAAACATATCAATATAAATTCCTCATGCAAATAATAAAGGTCTTGAATTAAATTAAACAAATAACTATATAATCTAAGAGAATTTAGCTAGACATCATTAAATTCAACATACTCAAGAAAATTAAAGGGGAAGCACAACAAGAACACATCAACGAATAAATAGAATAACAAGAAAACTTTAGCCTTTTAAGGTAGAAGACAGGTGCAACAATTAAGCCTTTCTCCCTCTTGAATTCAGATTATTCCTCTCTTTCTCTGGCATGTTGAAATTGCTTCCTCTTATCTTCTGATGTGCTGAGACTGCTTCCTCTTCTCTTCTTTGCTGAATTCTCTCTAAGGATGTGCCCTGTCTTGAGTCTATGGTCCTTTTTATAGTGCAGCCTCCCCTCAATTGCTTCTCAATGCAGACTCCTAATTCAACACAAATTAGGTCTCTTAGTCTTTATCTTAGTTGAATTTCTATCTCTTTTGCACTACCAACTATTAGACCCGAAACTTTTAGCTCAAATTTCAATTGGTTGGCGGTAGAATTAGGTTGAGTGATAAACACAAGAGTTGTAACCCTATCTCTTAGCTTTAATTATCCATTTGAATCACCTCAATCCGAGTTGTAGGCAGAAAGTTATGCCTAAAATATGGGAACTATATCAAAACAGAAAATTTCTCGATTTTTGTGCATATATATCAAATCCGATTTCAATGGATTCTCTCCTTCATGGCTATATCATGGAGAATCATTGTTGCATGGTCCTTCCTCTATGATTATCTTGATCAATTAAATCGAACTCCTCCTTAAAATTGCACAATTAAGCTCCAAATCATCTTGCAAGACAATTTCATCATAATTAGTGCAATACCATAATAATTCCAAAAACATTATTACCAAAATCATCAAGTTAGAGGTATGAAAATATGTACAAATATATGCTTATTAGAACCCCATTCACAATCCATGGTCATTTTTATTTTAGTAGTGATTAGTTTGATAGTTATGCCACTTTTATACTTATTTAAATAACATTTATAGTTATCTATTTGTTATCATCATAGTGAGATTTCTTATGACATTTTAGTGTTAAACGGATTTGTACTTGTAGGACTCTTATATGCCCCATTTTATTAACGGAAAAAACTATGAATAGACTGCATTTTCAAATTTTCATGGTTTTTTAATTTTGCCACATTAACCATGATAATTGATGCCATGCATATGACATGTTTTGGTCATTACTATACTACATCATCTCATAAAATTTTAAATTTGTGTTTTGGGGATAAGCAATGCATTAATTTATCAAAATGGAATAAAGTTAGGTATATTGCTAAATTTTTTCAGCAATTAAACACTAGAAAGCAATTTTTTTTTTCTAATAATTGGTTTTGGGAACTAAGTACATGATGCAAAAATGAGAAAACAAATTTTCCTTTATCATCCATCCTTCATCAACATTAAAACATACCATTGGAATCACTTGAAACTTAAAGATGCATTTGGTTTGAGGAGGACAAATTTTGGTGGGATGGGATGGGGTGAAAAAGGGAAAATGCATGGAAAATTTTCATGCTCCATTGTTTGGATGCAAAAGGGAAAATAGTGGGAAAGTTAGCACCAATTAGAATTATTAAATAATTAGGTAATTAGTAATATTTTTGTTACTTTATATTTTACTATTAATTAATTATTTAATAAACTAATATTGAAAATTAGTTAATTAATTATTAACTAAGAATTAATATTTTATTTTTTATTTTATTAATATTTATTATTAATTAATATAATTTTTGTATTATTAATTATTTTATGCTTTATTCTTTATTTGTTAATTATTAATTAATTAATTAATACTTTAATTATTATTAGTTTATAATTTATTATTACTTATTAATATACCTATTACTTAATTAATAAATTTAATAATAATTGTTAAATTATTTTTAACTTGTTAATTATTTCTTTAATTTATTTATTAATGTATGTTAGTTAAATTATTAATAATAAAATGACTATTCAATTCTTTGTTAATTAGTTAATTAATTAATGATTAAACATTTTTTTAATTATTAATTAATTAATAATGTTTTTATGATTTAGTATTTTATTATTAATTATTAATTAATATTAATAAATAGTTAATTAATTATTAACATGAATTAATATTTTAAATTTTATTAGTTTATATTTTATTAATACTTATGAGTTATTTAATAATTTTAAAATTTTATTCTAAAATATTAATTAACTATTAAATTATTTTTAATTGATTAATATTTTAATACTATTAAATAATTAATAATTTATAAATGGGTCGTAAGTCTAATATTAACTCTTAGAAATGCACAAGGTGTTTTTTGTTAAACAAGTTTCTCTCTCCATTTTCATTTGTTTCTTATCCAAATGGTAGGATTCTACATCGAAAGAATTGAGATATATAATGCCACATTTCTCATCCCATCTCATCACATCACACAAACTAAACATGAAAAAAAATATTTTAGAATATTTCAAATTTTCCCTTTTCATTCCACAACACAAATCAAACGAAAATTAAAGAAATAATTGATGAATCAACAAGTTGACATGTAAAACCGAAAATGGGTTTGATGCGAAAGATACGTGGCGAGATCTGGAGGCTCCTCTATCCGTTAGACGATTTATATTTGCCTTACATTTTTCCACGTGGCAAGAACAAGAGGATTCCTCTATAGTATCTGTCACCGCTAGCCAAATGGCCCACATGCAGGGAAGCATAGGGATGCAGCGGGAACGCTCACACGAGTTCAAATCAGCCCCTCTTGGTTTCCATAAAAAAACCACTCCCCACAAGATTGCCCCACAACATTTCACAATACATCGCTGCCGTGTGTGAGAACATCTCTCATCGGGTGATGTAACCGATACACGGCGGGAATGTACTGTGGACGTTGAGGGGGGCTGATTTGATCTCCTCACACGAGCCGTCGAATGTCAAATCGAAATTTGAAGCAAAGGCTCTCTAAGGCCTCCGCAAGTCTGTCAGTGGATTGTCTTTTGTTCTCTGACAGGTTTAGACCATAGCAATCAAGGGGACTCAACTCAACGATGGCGACGATGGTCTCTTCTCTTATGTTTCTCCCGACAGCCTCCGGTAATCGGCAGCGGTGTCGGAGGTCCTCGGATGCATCATTTCGTCATGCCGGCACCGGCATTGCCTCCGGAATTCGTACTGGCATCTTCCATCTTGGCGTGACCGTCTCTGCTCCAAAGAGGAAAAGAGGCGCGAAACAGGTTCCATCCCACCACTGCAAAGCTGAGCTGGCAGAGCTGGCTCCTGCTACCTCCGTTGCTTATGGAGCTCTGCTTCTCGGTGGCGGTCTCTTTGCCTGTAAGTCCCTTTTCATCGCCTTCTCTCCTGCTACACGGTTGCAAAGTACTTCATTTTTTTTTCATTTTATTTTTTCAGATGCACGATCTAGAAGCAAGGGATCTCTGTATGGGGGATTATCAGGAGCTGCTCTAATGGCAGTCGTAAGTACACAACTTGTTCTTCTGCTAAGAACAAATGCTTCAACATTAGAAAAATTTTCTCTTTTGTGTGGTTAATATGATTCTATGTATTATCAATTATGTATATAGTTTCTCTATATAACTTACTGTTTATTGAGGTAACCAAAATCCAATGCTCATTTAAATTGCAAATCTCATTAACGATATGATCAATCTTACCATGGAAGACGTCCCAGAATAGTAAAATTTAGTTAACAAATGAAAGAGAGATAAACTGAACAATATCCCAAGTCTGGTTTTAAGGAGAGCATCCATTCCAGCTTGCATAGTCTTTCTCCACTTAGGATGGGATAATGCTTCTGTACATTTTTAGGGATAAAGTCAGTAGAAGTACTGAAGTAGAAACTAGAAAAGATTAATAAGGAGGCAAAAGATTACAGGATAGGTATTTGGAGATTCAATAACCATTAGAAGAATGCCATTTACTTTTCTCTGGGCAATGGGCAAATGCCAGTCAGAGAAAACAGCAGGGTTAGGTGATGGAGGATTGGGACTTATCATCTCAGAGGCATCTAGTGGTGACAAAAGCGGCTCAGCAATGGTGGTGCGGAGTCTGTGGACAAACTTCTTAAGTTTCAGTGCTTCAGTCGATGTTAGAGCCAGAACAAAGCAGCATGAACAACAAGAGATATATGGGGTTGGGGTGTCTTTCAGAAGTCAACTCCACCCCCAACAGGTCTGTATTATATATAGGGCTGAATATTTACAATTAAAAGTTAGCCCTCGTGAGGGAATAAAGACTAACTACATGAAATTACATGGGTTTTACAACAAATAACAAAAGTTGAGTAAAACAGAAATATAAAACCTAAGAGAAGAAATTATAGGGACCGGACAAGTGACTGCTTTTGATTCTTTCTATGGTAGTAATTCCCTACATTAAGTTTGAAAATCAGTTGGCAGATTTGTTCACTAGGTCTTTGAGTTATCTTTGGGTAAATTTTGTTTGTTTGAGGTTGGAATTACCAGCTTCAGGGAGTATTGGAATATGTTCTTAGTTATGAGATGAAGGGCATTGGTGTAATTTCCTTATTGTTGATGCTTGGATTGGCCAAGGACAACATAGTAAATTTGCTTAGTTTCTTAGACGGGCTGGCTAGTGGATGGATCCGAGGGCGTGCCGAGGCCGAGGGCTAGAGGAGCCCGAAGTGTGCTGCGGCCGAGGGTCGATGAAGTCTGCCTGAGATCGGCTGAGGTCGAGTATCTGCGAGGAAGGGAACGTTAGGGGCCCCGGGTGATAACTTGAAGCGGAGACTCCGACGGTCAAGTTAGTGAGGGCGTAACAAAGAGGGCGGACAAGGTTCGAGGAGCTCGAACAAGGTTGTAGAAAGCTAGGGACCAAGAGAGTTTGGAGAGATGAAAGTCTGGTGGCTAGAGAAAGACCCTTTACCTTGGGGGTGGCATGTCCTATTTATACTCGAGGTTGTCCGACAGACCATGCGGACGGTCAGGATGTGGTACGGCCTTGGGCGGGCGGCCATCCGAGCTCGCCGCGTGTGGTCGTGCCATTGGTCCCACGTTGGGCGCCGACCTCCGCCCTGCGGACGCGCTGATTGGCTCTGCCCTCGGCCACGTTTCGTCGCGCTAGTGGCCTGCTAAAAGCGCCTACATCACTTATTTTTAGTGGTTAACCCATTTTTAGGCCCGTTTTTCTTAATAGTGTTAGACATTTTATGTATGCCCTTAGCTTCAATCTGATTTGATGTACTTGTTATTTAGTGGAAATAAATAAAGTGCATGTTTTGATTCATGTTGGTTGGTTTAATTCTGTGTAAAAGCCTAAAACTGGACATTTATAGAGATTCATGTTAGTTTTAAATGTTCACAGCCGTTGGATAAGTCTGGGGAGATTTATCCTGCCAAGGCTGATRCTGGTGTGCCACCAAGTGTTGGGATGGCCTGTCTCAGCCATCAGGGTAAGACACGAGGCACAT